CCTAGATATCACTTGCTAGACCAAGAGTGGCAACCACGCATCGGTGTCAAGCAATTATAACCGATCAGAACCCTTCAACAGGAATTGCCTGGCTGTTCCTGCTGCTGTGTCGCTGGCAGCTCCCCTTCTTCCCAAACTCAAGAGCGGGAGTACTCTCATCTGGCTTGCACACCAGCCCGTCGCCGCAAGGTTCGGAACCAGTCTCGCATGGCTCACCAACACCTTTGGGCTTGTCAATCTTGCAAGTGAAACTGTAATTGGCGTAATTGGAGTTGAAACGACTTCCAAAAAGTGGCGTGCAGCCTCCACAACCAACCTCCTCGCAGAGGGTCTTGAAATTGTTCTGGGGCGGAGACGTGGGCATACCCGTGTTACATTTAACGCGATTCTTAGCCACTTTGCAGTCAAAGTTCAATTGTTTGTCCTCGGTCCATCCTTTCTCAATTGCATCATCAACACTGGCCTGAGTCATTCGGAGAATGTCGTCCACCGAGAGCGAGAAGAGTCTGTCGGCAGTGCTCTGGGGAGCCGGGATAGCCATAGCAAGGCTGGCAAGGATAGGGAGGGTGGTTGATGCCTTCATTATGAAGAGAAGAGTAGTATGAACTATGAAGCTTAGAAATGGCGCGTTGATAATAGATAGCAAAGTAACGATTTGATCGATGTTGGTAATTGGCTTTCACTTCTCAGTTGGGAACGTGTATTCCTTTTATAACAATTGTTGCTAGGAAGCTGGCGGTGGCTGTTGCCAGGTGTTTGCCAATGCCGGGCATGGGGTATGGAGGACGAAGTGGGCGCCCTCGGTGATGATTCAAAATGTATTCCTAAGTCTCACGCCATTTTCGTATTTTTATCCTTGAGCGAATCAATATTTATGCACTAAGCCTTGGAATACCTAGCTATATGGCTTGATAATGGCTAGTGGATTATTTAGTCACAGCATAGGAGACGGGGCGTATTTTGTTTTCCTATGAGGAGTTGGTAATCTAGGAATAGAAACACACCTAACGAGTGGAAACCTAAGGGAGACGCGTGCTTTTCTTCAACCGTTCTGGAAAGTTACGCAACTCACAGAGGGCCGCTACGCCACCCTTGATCGCACGCTTTTCACAGTGGATGTTCTACATAGACACTATACCCAAAAGTACTAAGGTGACACCCCTCTACGCATTTACATTGCTGCCTCGTGGGCCGTGTTCGACAAGTACTACCAGCTCACGGACAAGACCCCTGCCTATGGCGCGGCTATACTGCTTCGCCCATTACTTCGTATAGCCCATGTTGAGAAAGACTAGCCCGGGTCGTGGTACAGCCGATTCTTCACGGCGTGATGAAGTACTGAAAGGAGCATTATCAGCAGCTTCCGATAACTACTACTACTCCCGAGCTACGAGATAAGTTGCAACCGCCCAATGTATGACCTGCTAGCTCGGGAGTTGGATGCTATCAGCCCGACGTCAAATGAGCTCGACGAGTACCAACACGTCGTCGCGCAAACACCTGTTGCTATCGACTGTTTACCGCTTGATTGGTGGCTCCGAGAAGAACAGCAACAACGATACCCCCGTCTCTCCTGGATGGCCGTCGATATTCTGTACGTACCAGCTATGTCCACCGATCCAGAGCGTGTCTGTTTAGGCGCAAGACGCACGAGATCCTGGGATAGATGTTAGCTAGGAAGTCGAATAATTGAGAGGGGAGAGTGCATGAATAGTTGGATAAAGAGCGGTATCACCAAGGGGGTTCCCGTAGACTTGATCGAAGAAGAGAATGAAAAGGCTTAAAATACTGCTTGAACGACGGCGAGGCTCAGCATCAAATGAGAAGAAGGTTAAGTTTTCGTGCTTCGGCTGATGGCGTGCCGTATCCTTTCTCTGACTGACTCCACTTACGCCCACCATGCCGGAGCCAAGCGCCTGCGTCATGCCACATGTTCTCAATCTGCTCACTGAGTTATTATGCATTTCAGCCACTTACAGTACCAGTCCTGCCTGTTAAGAGTTGAGTGCCTTGCGGATTTAGTGGAGCGCTGTGGGCGCTATGGGGCGCAGCAATTGCCATTTCATGCACTCCTTTCTTGCGACGTGTACGGAATAACCGTTGCGCAGCCACTTGCTATGATATGCTAAATCTATACGGGTGGATTCGGTGAGAGCGTCCACATCGTATTCCCTTGCACAATTGGCTATTCATGTTAAATGTTGCTGGCCACTTCTTGGCACAAAAAGTCCGTAAAAGGTACTGGTGACTAACGCATCCTGTTGACCGCGTGGTCAACGTGGCTTATTTCGACAGTTTTTTATAATTCCTATAATATAGAATGCTTTCCCTCTAATTTGGAAATAAAGTGGATTCCAAACGGCTTGGAATTGCATGACTTTTATATCGGGGGTCTTAAACTATTGTGCCAAGGCAACATCCAAGTTTCGACTTGGTCAAATTGATAGATCACCTCTTTTACAGTCAGGAACAGGTTTAGCGTCCACACTCTAGGCTAAAAAAAATTCAGATTTAGTCATGTTTAGGCCGATTTTGGCTGCCACCACAACATCGTTTTATGGATCCATGTGGACGCTGAACCCGAACCCAACTGTACATATAAAGATATACATATATTTATTCACTACGCTTCCTAACATACAGCTTGAACGTTTGTCCTATTGAAAAGCATTACTACCTCTTCTCTGCTCTCTAGCCCCCATTCTCTACTACGAATCTGCGACAATGAAGACTGCCGTTGGTGTTATTTTCACGGCTGCATTAGGCACTGCCTTGCCCCATGTAGATAGGTCAACTACGACGTTTTCCTCCCGCAGCACTGATGCAGCTAATGAATCGACCCCCCCTTGGGTTGAGTATAAAGGCGACATTGGCGCTTGCAATAGGGCTTTCAGCAAAAGAGCTACTCGTCAGGATGTCGAGGAAGCTTGTGGCACCGAGTTTTTCTGCGACCTGTGGGACACAGACTATGGTCCCGACTACCTGAAAGACATGTCGGAGCGATATGGCTACGCGAATAAGGCGGAATGCCTCGCTGCCCACACCAAGCCCCCTTGGGTTGAGTATGAAGGCGACTATCCAACCTCGGACAGTGTGGCTTTCAGCGTCAAGACCCACTACAACACCAACTGCGCTGGTAGTGTCAACAACAACGTCGACATCAAGCCAGGGAATGGAGTCTGTGTCAACACGAACTGCCGTGTCGGCAGCCTCGAAATTCCAAGCGTCGGAAGCTGCCCGAACGGCCAAGTTCGAATCAGCTACTGGCAGAATGCCGATTGCGCGGGCGACTGGTACGGTTACGGCTACGGAAGCAGAGATACCTGCCGCGGACTGTGGTCCAACGGCTGGGGCTTCAAGTCCCTGTGGCTGTCGTGCGCCGAGCCCGACAGCGACTGCATCCAGCAGGGAACCTGCACCGCCGCCCCAGAGCCGTCCACGGAGGTCTGCCGTGCCACGGCGGACGCTGACACGACAGACGCTGACACGACAGACGCCTTCCATCTCAAGACCCGGTACAGCACAAAATGCACCGGTGACGTCCACAACGAGGTCACCGTCCCGCACGGAGACGGCCAGTGCATCGACACAAACTGCGCCGTGGGAAGCCTGGATATCGACAATGTCGGGAACTGCCCTGATGGAGAGCTGCGAATCAGCTACTGGGAGCAGTCTGGGTGCTCGGGCAAGTGGTTTGGATACGGCTACGGCAGTAGGAATACCTGCCGGCCGCTGTGGTCTGGAGGCTCGAGCTTCAAGTCCCTTTGGGTGAGCTGTGCAAAGCAACGCGATGACTGTGTCAGTCGGGGAACCTGCTCCATTGACGAAGTGCCAAGTCGCCCTGTTTGCTGATACACCAGACCTACAAAGCTGGGATAAGTTCGAGTGAGGCTTTCACTTTGCCATGGTCAGCGTGTCTAACATTGTGATGTTACCATGTATGATGAAACCTCTGGAGGTCATGCCATAGCAGCCATACATAGCATAGACAGATCCATCGTCATATCACATGAAGTTTATGTAATATGACCACAATATATGGTGAATCGGTGATACACACGACCGCATCAAGGCTGTCATCCGCAAAAGGTGCTCTGCTGCTTTTGCCAAGCCATGACTTGAGGCATTCGGTCGCTTCGATGCTCTCAATGCCTAAACGGCTCCTACGGTCTGTGAAGGTGATATTCGTGCCTGAAAACAGGCGTTCCGGCTCCGCCAACATGGCTGGAATAGACAATACGTCCAATGCCATAACAGTGGGGCTGGGTAAGACTTCCTTTGCGTCGGCTCAAGCCACCAGGATCGCGGATCTATGACCTCTGGTACTATAGGAGCAAGGAGATACTTTTTGTACTTGTCCTGATTAAGGCTGGTCCCCTTGTTCCGCTGCGCGGCTGCGCCCATCTATGAAACGAGTTCTTGGCCTCGTTAGCCATTTCTGACGTCTGAGTTGGGACTGCAAGCCTTGGGCCACGGCGAAACTTTGCTGCTGTGTATAAGGGGAGGGCGCACAACAGCTAGTCAGCAGGGCGCCTCTGTATTGGCCGCCTGGCCGCCACGCACCGCCGGTGGTGCACCTACTAGCCCCCCGGTGTGTAAGCGCTTTCTCCCACTACAGAGTCCTGTCACCACTAGGCAATGAGGGCGTGGGCAAGTATGAGTAGCAACTACAGCGCCCTCCGAGTATGCCCCTATTTCTATCCTCCGCAAAGCGCCGGAAAGAAGTTTATGGGAAAAATGAAGGAGAAGGCGATTAATGGTTGAGTGTATAAACTAGGCTGTACAGTGTATTGTGTATTTTTTGGTTTTGGACTCTGTTTAACTGTACAGCTGTTGATGGCCAACTTCTAGGGGACGGCAAACTATGTTCTCAACTTCTTTCTAGCTGGGTTGTTGTCTATAGTCATTGATTGCCTATCCGGTCGCACAGATGTCGAGATATCCTATTCAAGAACCGCACCCGTCGTCTCCAGCAACTGAGGGAACCATCTCTTGGCCCTGTCCTTGAATACTTCGTATCCAGCACCCGCCCGCAGGACGCGCATGTTTTCGACATCAAAGTTGATGCCACCGCAACCATACGTGTGCCATTTTTGCAAGCCGTAATCGATCACCAAATCGACGGGGTCAAGCACGGATGGCTCGATGTCCTCGATACGAAACCGCTGCCCTTGTCCAGTGGCGTTCGCAGAGGTCCCAAACATCAGCATGCCGTCCGGGTCGGCATCACAGAGCCTACCAAGCTCCCGCAGAAAAGGCCCCTCCGGTATTGCGATGCTGACCGTGTCTCCTTTTGTGACTTGGACGAGTGTGGCCTTATCCAGTGCTGCCAGTCGCGGGTGAAGGTTGACGACATCAAATTTGGCAATGATTCCAACGATCATGCCCATATCTTCCGTCAAGGCCCGGGTAAACTCAAACTTGATGTCTGGCAGCACGTGAATCTCTCGGTGCTGCTGGTACGTCCCGATGATGCCAATGTTGTGGCTCTTTTCGCGGCCTTTGGCCGTAAAGATCTTCTGAACGCCGGCTTGCGTGCTGGCCAGGAGCGCATAGCCCACGTCGGTGGGGACAACGACAGCTCCGCCTGCTTTGAGTGTTTGAAAAGCTTGTCGGGCATCGCGAGAAATAGCTGGCACGCTGCCTGCTTTCGGGACAATATGGGGAGCCATGATTCGGATGTTGTGAAAGCAAATACCAGTCGAGAGAAAAGTGGGATAGGTTTTGCGTCAACAAATCTCGGAAAGTCACTGGCATTAATGGACAAGATGACTGTGTAAGTACGTGAAAACAGTTGTGAGGTGGGGTAATAATGGCAACTTAAATTAAACTTTTGCCGGAACTCCGATCAAATTTGGCACAGCAGTTCCGCTCAACATCTTCACCCCGAGACATCCTTGATAAGGACAAAGGAATATGTCGGAAAAATATTCATCCGTCGCTCAACTCCGATCGGCGCGGTTCAACCCGGAATTCCGCTGTCAAGTCCGGAGCGGCAAACTCGTCAGGGTCCCTGGCCGGCCTGACGACTATTCAATGCCACTGTCGTTCTCACGGAGCTTGCCGTATCAAAATCGATTATTGAACCTTTGGTTATGGAGAGCCTCAACATTCTACTTGGTGACAGGCTGACAGCATTTGCGGTCGGTTGCTCAACAACGGCTCAAACGGACGGTTTTTCACCTACAATGTATCTCAAACCCTCAAGGCCGGGGACGTTCAAGCCCAGACCCCCAGCGGCGGATATGGTAGGCTTCGTTGGTCCTGACAATTCAGGTATCCCTCATAACTGGCCCACGCTGGCAAGGATGGTCGCGGGCAGTGCTGGACAGTGTTGCTAATAATATGGCAATATGACAATATACGGCCGTACATACGATATGATATGCACAACCGTCATATTGTAGCAATATAATATGACCATCCGCATATTGTGACAATACAATATAGAGATCGTCGTATTGGCAGTATATCATTTATACTGTTTATATTGCTAGGACTTGGCCAAAATTTTCAAGAGTAAAAACATGATGTAGGGTAGCGGTCGACACGCGTTTAGTGAATGTCTCACACCCCTTAAATGAAGGCTGTGTAAGCGGCTCCAATCACAATGGCCATTCTATGCAAGACCATCACACCGTGCCCATCCACTGTCACGCCTTACACTGTTGCTCTTACTTGAAAAATGGTTGCGCCTTTGCCGCTACGTGCACTCCACGTTCCACAACACCGTCTCGATGCCTCAACAACGCCTCGACTTCACCCCAACCTCACGACGGTTTACCCCGGCACAATCGAATAGCGACCTAGCCCTCTCCAACTCCCCGTTACGCGACTCGGACGAGGGCGACGCGTCCAACTGCTTAGCACCATTGCCCCACCTACTCTCATCATCTTCAGCATCGTGCCTCAAGCCAAGGACGTCGTGGGTCTTCTCTCATATGCCGGACGAAGACAGGGAGACCAGATACTATAACCAGCGAGCGGGAAAAGAGGAATGGCGCTGCCGTCACTGCAACAAGACGTATTCCTGCTCCGGCGGCACCGCAGCTCCGGCTAAGCATCTTACAGACCCTCCGCCAGACGGCCATGGTCTCTCGAGGGGCGCTCCTCGAACATCCAAGGTGGTCAACATACGGGCGATTCTCGAACAAGCTCGGCTTACGGCCGAGGAGAACCCGCGGAAGCGCCGTCGCCTGAACGATCAAGCAGGTGACTCGATTGTCCCTGACCAACTCGAAGCATCATATGTGAGGTTCATTTCGGCCTGTTCTCTGCCCTTTCGTCTCGTCGAATGTCCCGATTTTCGAGCGCTCCTATTGTACCTCAACGACGACGTTGATACATGGCTGCCCGACACGCACGAGACGGTCAAGAAATGGATAATGCGACAGTTTGATGCGGAGAAGGCAAGAATAAAGCAAGGAATACAGGCGGCCAAGTCAAGAATTCACATCAGCTGCGATCTTTGGACGTCACCTAATTGCCTGGCCATACTCGGCATAGTCGCACATTACGTCACAGAAGACGGACAACCCGAGCATCACACGTTGGCTCTAAAAGACATTGACTGCGAACACAACGGCTCTCACCTTGCGGCAGCAGTCTTGGACGTGGTGGAGGACTGGGGCTTCGCGTCAAAGCTTGGGTATTTCATGATGGATAATGCTGCGAATAACGACACGATGATGACGTCGCTCTCTCTCGACCTTCTACGCCGATTCGACATTCACTACGACCCAAAAGTCCACCGCCTTCGCTGTCAGGGACACATTATCAACCTTGCCGCCAGGGCTTTCCTCTTTGTTAATGATAAAGAGACGCTCGAACTTGACGGTTCCGGTAACAGTGCATCTTTGAAGGACATACAAGCTTGGCGGGAACGGGGGCCACTTGGTAAGCTGCATAACTTCGTTGTATTCATTCAACGGAGCGTGCAGCGGAGCCGCAAGTTTCTCGCTCTGAGCGGCAACCGCAAGCTCGCGCGAGACAATGACACAAGATGAAGCTCATGGTACAGTATGCTGCGGACAGCGCTTAACCTTCGCGAGGCAGTCGATGGTTATTTTAATAAATGGAAGGAAGCTAAGTGCGCGGGGGACGAGCTGTCTGCAGATGACTGGGCTGTCCTAGGAAAGATCAAGGCCTTTTCGGAGAAGCTGAAAATGACTACCAAGGCTCTTGAGTCGTCTTTTGTTACTCTTGATCATGTTCTATTGGCCATGGACTTTATGCTCGCCCAGTCTGAAGCAGGAAAGGCCGCCAATCGTGATGATCCAATGATGAGTCCAATGTTTAACTCTGGGTGGGCGAAACTGGACAAGTACTATTGTCTCACTGATGAGTCGCCTGCCTATGTGGCCGCCATAGTGTTACACCCTTCGCATAAGTGGCATTACGTACAGGAAAACAGGAGAAAAGATTGGGTTGAACCAGCAAAGGCGTTGGTGGATGCTCTATGGTCGCAATATAGACCTATTGAGTCGTCTCTGTCATTTTCTCATACCGTGTTGCCGGCAACAAACGAGTTCTTGGATTGGAGGAATAAACACCTTCAGCCGGCACTCATCACGGATGAGTATGAGCGCTACTGTCAGGCCGAGCGGACGTATGGCTTTACGAGCGCACTTTCATGGTGGCTAGAGGAGACGCAGCAAAAGAACTACCCTAACCTGAGTAAAATGGCGGTCGACATTCTGTCTATCCCGGCAATGTCTGCCGAGCCTGAACGGCTATTCTCTGCTGCGAAGTTGACGGTGACAGATCGTCGTAACCGGCTGGGGAGTGATGTCATGGAAGCGCTAGAGTGCTTGAAATAGTGGCTAAGGATACACGACTTTCAAGAGAGACATGTGTAAGTGGCGTTTGGCCAATGATGGCTCGTCGACGGGAGTCACGTGTGGTATATTGTGTGTATTGTGATACTGGCAATATATTGGGTTCTTGGCAATACAATACAATATGACTGGCTGCCATACGGGGTAATACAATATGGACCTTCTGACAATACAATAATATTGTGAGGGGTCCAATATTGCCAATATCATACCGTATGTACTATTAGCAACACTGGTG